AAACTTCCCTCTGGCGAAATGGCCTCGGTGAAATGGGTTTCGGCGAAATAAACTTTGGCGAAATGTACCGTAACCATTGATATGTATATATTATTGATAAATATTTATATTTATTATTGATAAGTATTTATTATTGATAAGTATTTATTATTGATAAATACTATATATATTATTGATAAATACTATATATATTATTGATATGTATTGTATAAATTACCTTGTTGCTACCGGATATTTCGAATTTTTAATGATGTATTCATTCTTTTCGTAAAGTTCCAATGTTTATGACGAATTGATGGTTACGGTACATTTCGAATTGATCCAGATCTGTCAGACACAATGCTAAATTAATATAAGTATAATTATATTACTATGGGAAAATTTATAATTAAGTTTATCTGCTCCAATTTCAACTAACTTGAATATGTAAAAATACTATCTCTAAATGGAGATAAGATGTTATACGTTGAATTGGAATATCCAACCAATTACGAAAATTTAAATATATCTAAATTTTATTAATTTAACAACGTTAAAATACTACTACTATTTTTTAAGTTAAAGGGAAACATTAAATAACAACTTTATCTTGACTAGAATCAAATTGTTTCAAAAATTTTCCCTCACATTTTAAAACTTTCTCTTGGGCATTAACTTTATTAATTATTTCATAATTTTATTTTCTGATGTTAATTATAATCAATCGGTTGACTTAATTTATTCATTAACCGGTGAACCATTATTAAAAAGTTAAAGTTAATATAAATGAAAAAATGTTAAAAAGTTAATATTATTGATACGTATACTTTATTTATTGATATATATATTGATATGTGTTGTATAATTACTTTGTTGATACTGGATGTATTCATTCTTTCGTAAAATTCAAAGTTCCAATGTCTATGACAAGTTGCTCGAATTTGATCCATATCTGTCAGATACAGTGCTAAATTAATATAAGTAGATTTATATTACTATGAGAAAATTATAATTTATTTAAAATTAAGTTTGATCTAATTTAATGATTTTGTTCTAATTTCAACTAATTTGCATGAAAAATACCATCTCTCTACAATGGTAAAAATGACGCTATACGTTAAAATGATATAACCAATTTTAGAAAATTTATGAAAATTTAAATAATTTAATAATCTGAATTTTATTAATAATTTAATAATTTAACAAAGTTAAAATACTACTACTATTTTTTAAATTATTAAGGAGAAACATTAAATAACAACTCTATCTTGACTAGAACCAAATTGTTCTTTCAAAAATTTGACCTCACGTTTTAAAACTCTCTCTTGGGCATCTACTTTATTAATGATTTCATCTATAATAATTTTATTTTCTGGTGTTAATTTATTATAATCAATCGTTTGACCTATTTTATTCATTTGATCCAATATAGTACCAAGTTGATTTGGTAACCAAGTTACTATAGGTGAACCACTATGAAATAAGTTAATTGTGTTAAAAAGTTAATATTATTGATACATATATATTATTGAATATTATAATATATATTATTGATAAGTATATATATTATTGATATGTGTTGTATAATTACCCTGTTGCTACCGGATGTTTCGAATTTTTAATGACGTATTCTTTCGTAAAGTTCCAATGTCTATGACGAAATGCTCGAATTTGATCCATATTTGCCAGATACAATGCTAAATTAATGTAAGTAGATTTATACAGATTAGACAGATTTAAACAAATTTAGACGGTGGGATTTAAGTGGATTTAAATTTTAAAACGTTATTATGTAAATTAGTACTATTTGCATCCTATTTTTAATGCAACAAATAAAATAAAAAAAAAATCATTGTTATTTAAAGTTATTTAAAATTACAAAATACGTCATATCATTACAGTTCTACAGATCCACATTACATACTTGAATGGCAAAACCTCTAACATTAACTTCTTCAGCTCTTCTTTGTACGAAATCTAAGAATTCTTTATGATTTGCAGGACGATATTTTCTAAAATCTTTTAATACTTCCGTTAAAGGATTATTTGGTAATTTTGAAGTTATTTGTAGAAGATTATCCATACAAGGAATCATTGAATCAGTTGCTCCAGATTCCCCTAAAAAAAAAATTATTTAAATTATTTTGAATTAGGACGGTATTAGAACGCATAAAAAAAAACAATTATACGGTTAAACTACGATATAGCGATATGTTAGAATCATAAAAAATATAACAGTATTGGAACGCATAAAAAAAATATAATAAAATAGTTAAACTACATAACGAAAATCTTCGAAAAATATAAAGTATAGAACTCATAAAAAACACAATTATACAGTTAAACTACTCCACATAAGAAATCTGAAAAATATCGTCATATCTCTCATATAGTGAACTTTATCGCTATATCGAGTTTTTAATATAATATCGAATATCAAGTTATAAATACCTCTATAAAATAATGGTTTTTCGCTTACACCTTCATAAATAACACCTAGCAGATAAATAAATAACATGATTAAGGATATCAAATCTTGTTTCATCAAGGATTAAAAAAATAGATGTCAGTTAGTGTATTACTACTACATACCGTTCGGAAACATTGGTTGATTTTTGGAACCCATAATGAATGTACGAAATTTTAAATAATCTTCAGAATTAGAACGTTCCCACATGGTTTCCATTTCTTGATTAATTGAATTCATAGTATCAATTAAATTTTTCAATGCATTATTAAATTTAACTCGATCCTTTTTATTTTAGTAGAGGAAAAAATATATATATAAATTATTGTTAGATTTACGAATTTTTCCAAAAAATGTTAATTTACATGTTTTATTTACTTTTTCTTGTGCTGCCTCAAGCGTTTCCATTGTACATTTAATTAAATTTCCTGAACGTGCCACCATGGAAACATGAACTAATATAAATCCACGTTCCGGAGCTGTTCCAGCAAACGCACGAACCAATTTTAAATTCGGATAAACGATAGGTTTCGTAGGATCAATCCGTTGATAATTATACAAACTAAAAAAAAAAGGTTATATACTCGTATAACAGAGGCTATTACGCAATGTAAAAAAAATAGCTGCGGAGATATGCACCTGTGAGAGCGAGCGTATTCCATAAATGGGAAAGCGTTCAATTTATTTGCGACGATATTTAAAGGAATCGCAATATTTTTTGGTAAAATTTCGCGTCCGAGACCATAATCTTTCTTTTCCCTATACATGATATCGCATGGTTCAAGTAGGTATGATGATGCCAAAAATGTATAGTCTCCAAACAATGCTATACGGTACAGATATATCACACTTATTAATATACAATATATACAATATATACCGCGCGCAGTCATTATATTATTACCTACCGGAAAGTAACCTTTGATCGGTAATATCTGAAACATCAAATTGCGGTAAATCTCTTTTTACGGCGTCACCTAATTGACCATTTGCTAATAAACCTTCTCTACCATCTGGTAAATGAATTGGCATATTTTGTAATAAATTTTCAAGAGCATAGAATCGATATGGTAATTTTGCAAGTGGATCCTAACAATTTACAAAAAAAATTTTTTAAAATGATCTTTTATGACGTTAGAATAATATCATTTTACTACCTGTCTTGGTAAAAATCCATTTTCATATCCGACCATAAATGATGGAAGAGTAGTATCATGTTCTATAGGATCTTTTAATATATTAAAATTATGAGAATGAACATTAAAGTTTGATTGAGAAGGAGAAAAGTCATCAACTAAAGAGGAATTTTTTCTAAAGAGGACTGAATGAACACGATTAAATCTATAAAGATTTTGTGAATTGTTTTTAACGATTCCTTTAATTGACAAAAACATGGTTTAATACGAAGTAATACGAAATAATTTTTTTTTTTTTATAATTTAATATTTTTGTATTATAATATTTTTTTTCTTCATCTTCTAAATTTTTTTGGTTTATTTATGAATCTTTTAGCAATAAAGTGGTTGTGAGTAGATCGTGGGGTAAGTTACTAAAAAAGTGTATTCTGTACTACACTCAATAGTACGATGTACTACACTCAATAGTACGTTGTATTACACTCAATAGCACGTATACAATCAAACATGCTTTTATTATTAATAAGTTTAAAACAATGAAATAGATTATGTGAGCAATTATATAAGTTAGTATTCCAGCATGGATGACATTGATATTTATTAAAACACGTTAAGAAAAAGCAAAAATTTAGCTCAAAATTCAGAGAACGAATTTAAAGCGGTTCAAATTTTAATAAAACACGATAATAGATAATATGTTATAGCGTATAGCATTCGCTACAATAAGCTTTTTGTTATGTATTCATAACATTTCGTATAACTGTACTCCAGAAACCTGGACCCTTCTGAATGATTATTCTCAGACTGTACAGCTGACCAAACAATTTGATTATGAAAACTTTAAGTATTGTAATAATCTTACAGCGTACGTTTTTTTTTTTTTAAAAAAAAAGCCTAGATTAATGAATACAGTTACACCTCTATAAGTGCACCCTTTATAAGTGCATGCACTATATAAATTCTCTTTAAGTGCACGGTGGGCCTGGGTCCAACTTATAAGAGCTCTTAATTTTTTACTCTCTATAAATGCACGCCTTCTAGGTGCACATTTTACTATTTTTTTACTATAGTCCCAAGGGGAGTGCACTTAGGAGAGGTGTCACTATAAATGTTTAGTATGTATTTTATTTTACTATTGTTTACTATTCAAAAATGGTACTAAACAATTTTATATTAATGATTGTCAATTCTTATCCGGTTTTTCGTGGCAAAAAATGTAAATAACGATAAGAAATGAGATAATCTGTTGATCTCGAAAAAAAAACGAATATAATATTAATTCGATCACAATGGTTACAAGGGTGAAACGAGATGATCTTGATCTAAATAAAAAAGCGAATTTGATTTAACTTTCCCACGGCATTTACGAATAATCAACTATAATAAAACATGTGTCCAAATTGTAATGAGAATATCTGAATTTTATTAAATAATTTTAATGTGTTAATAAATGTACCATTTTTTTTAAATTTAAAAGGATACATTAAATAACAACTCTATCTTGACTAGAACCAAATTGTTGTTTCAAAAATTTGACTTCACGCTTTAAAACTCTTTCTTGGGCATTAACTTTATTAACGATTTCATCTATAATAATTTTATTTTCTGGTGTTAATTTATTATAATCAATCGTCTGACCTATTTTATTCATTTGATCTAATATAGTACCAAGTTGATTTGGTAACCAAGTTACTATAGGCGAACCACTAATAAAAATTATATAAAAAAGTTAACATTATTGATACGTATATATTATTGATAAATATATATTATGGATTATTGATCTTGTATAATTACCCTGTTGCTACTGGATGTGCCGTATTTTTAATGATATATTCTTTTGTAAAGTTCCAATGTCTATGACGGAATGCTCGAATTTGATCCATATTTGCCAGATACAATGCTAAATTAATATAAGATTTACACAGATTAGACAGAATTTAAAACGAATTGAAATTTTAAACGTTATTATGTAAAATTAGAACTCACCGGTACTGTTTGCATCCTATTTTTAACGCAAAAAAATAAAAGTCGTTATTTTAAATTACAAAAATACGATATATAACAATTATCAATACAGTTTAAAGCTCTCACATATACATACTTGAATGGCATAACCTCTAACATTAACTTCTTCGGCACTTCTTTGTACGAAATCTAAGAATTCTTTATGATTCGTAGGGCGATATTTTCTAAAATCTTTTAATACTTCCGTTAAAGGATTTTTTGGTAATTTTGAAGTTATTTGTAAAAGATTATCCATACAAGGAATCATTGAATCATTTGCTCCAGATTCCCCTAAAAAAAATAAAAGATTATTTATTAGAACGCATATAAAAATCACAATCATAATACAAGTTATAAAATACCTCTATAGAATAATGGTTTTTCGCTTACACCCTCATAAATAACACCTAACAGATATATAAATAAAATAATTAATATATAAAATATCGCTTAAAATATCGCTTGGTAATTTAGTAATTTATATATTGTGTGTGGTACATACCGTTCGGGAACATTGGTTGATTTTTGGAACCCATAATGAATGTACGGAATTTTAAATAATCATCAGAATTAGAACGTTCCCACATGGTTTCCATTTCTTGGTTAATTAAATTCATAGTATCACTTAAATTTTTCAATGCATTATTAAATTTAGCTCGATCCTTTTTTTTAAACATTTTAGTAGGAAAAAAAGAGGATATAAATTATTATTAAATTTACGAATTTTTTCAGCAAAAACGTTAACTAGTACATATAACTTTTACGGTATTTTTAATCTTTAATTACTTTTTCTTGTGTTGCTTCAATAGTTTCCATTGTATATTTAACTAAATTTCCTGAATGTGCCACCATAGCAACATGAACTAATATAAACCCATGTTCCGAAGGTGTTCCAGCAAACGCACGAATCAATTTTAAATTAGAATAAACGACAGGTTTCGTAGAATCAGTCCGTTGATAATTATACAAACTAAAAAAAAAAAAGGTTATATACTCGTATAATAGAGTTATTATGCAATATAAAACAAAAGCTGCGGCGGAGATATGCACCTGTAAGAGAGAGCGTATTCCATAAATGGGAAAGCGTTTAATTTATTTGCGATGATACTTAAAGGAATAGCAATATTTTTTGGTAAAATTTCGCGTCCGATGCCATAACTTTTTCTTTCTCTATACATGATATCGCATGGTTCAAGTAGGTATGATGATGCCAAAAATGTATAATCTCTAAACAATGCTATACAGTACAGTATATATCGCACTTATTAATATACAATATATACAATATATACCGCAGTAATTATATTACCTACCGGAAAGTAACCTTTGATCGGTAATATCTGAAACATCAAATTGCGGTAAATCTTTTACAGCGTTACCCAATTGACCTTTTGCCAACAAACCTTCCCCACCATTTGGTAAATGAATTGGCATATTTTGTAATAAATGTTCAAGAGCATAAAATCGATCCGGTAATTTTGCAAGTGGATCCTAAACATTTACAAAATTTTTTTATTTTATGGCATTAGAAAAATTTAAGTTTACTATGAATATCTATCTACCTGTCTTGGTAAAAATCCATTTTTATATCCGACCATAAATGAAGGAAGAGTAGTATCATGTTCCGTAGAATCTTTTAATATGTTAAAATTATGAGATTGAGCGTAAAATTTTGATTGAGAAGGAGAAAAAGCACCAATTAAAGTGGAATTTTTTATAAAAAGGACTGAATGAATACGATCAAATCTATAAAGATTTTGGGAATGATTTTTAATGATTCCTTTAATCATGGTTTAATACGAAATAATACGAAATAATAAATTTATAATAATTCAGTATTTTTATTTTTTTATTTTTTATTTAATATTTTGTATTCCAATTCCAGGTTATTTATGTATCCTTTGATAATATTGAATGATTATCCCCGTGTACTATGTACAAAGTACCTCAGACTGTACAGCTGACCAACAATTTGATTACGAAAACTTTACGTTAAGTATTATATTATATTGTAATAATCTACAACATACATTTTAAATAAAAACGCCTGGGTTAATGAATCAATGTTTATGTACCGAGGTTATTTTCGCGTTTATTTTACTTTATTGATTATTATTACCATTTTCAAAATGGTATTAAACAATTTTATATTAGGATTACCAATTCTTATCCGGTTTTCGTTAGTAATCTGGTAAAAAATTATTCAATTTTATGAAATATTGCGTAAAAAACAACCGGGTAATAAGAAATGATAATCTGTTGATCACGAATTTGATCACAAGGTAATTTTTTTTTTATTTACTTTCCCACGGCATTCATTTTTTTTTTCTCACGCATAATTATTAATAAAAAATCATGTGTCTAAATTATTATGAGATTGAACCTTAAAAATATTTGAATGAAGAGGAAAAACACCCCTAAAAGAAAATCGTATGATGGTAATTGAATTATAATCAAAATAATCGGATTGTTCAAATAAACAAAATAATCAGATTGGTCATTTTATTACTCTTAAAAAGAAATTTCCATTTTTCTTTTTTTTTAAGGAAAAACCATTTTCCAAGTAAAATGAAATTTTATTTTAAAATGACTATTAATTTAATTAATTTATTTATTCCCTATGAAAAGTCTTTATACTTAAAATATACTTAAAATAAGTATCAATTTTTAATTTGCGATATACTTATAATATATTTAAAATATGCCTAAAATACTCTTGAAATATACTTTTGATGTACTTGCTTTTTGCCCAAGTACTTAAATTATATTTAAAATATACTTACATTAGAATTTAAGTACAATATAAGTGTATTTTTTTTTTTTTACATATTTAAAATATTCTTAAAATATACTTAAATTAAATTTTCAGCCGGGGGTGATGATCACCGGTGACTGAAATAACGACGATCGACCAGCATTAAAAAAATATAGTGCCGGTAAAAATTGATAATTCCGGCCAACGGTGATGATCACCCCCAGTAAAAAAAATTTTAAACATGTAAAAATATAATTTAAGTACTTGGGCAAAAAACAAGTACATTAAAAGTACATTTCAAGAGTATATTAGGCATATTTTAGGTATATTATAAATATATCGTGAATTAAAATTGATACTTATTTTAAGTACATTTTAATAAAATTTTAAGTATATTTTAAGTATAAATACTTTTCATAGGGATTTCATTATGTTCACAGTTTCGTCAATAAAATTTGAGTCGTATCAATTTGCCTTTGGATAAAAAAAGAAAGATAAATTTGATTAAAAATTTGCTTTAAAAAATTATAGTATAAATTATTTAAATAAATTTTATTATTTACATTATCTTTTATGGGTTGTATCATTTTGTTACGTTTTGTGCAGGATATGTAAATATGTTCTCGTAAAAATCAATAGCTATTTGCATAGCCTTTAATTAAATACTAATATCAGTCCTATAATAATTATATATATAAATGTTACATATGAATAATTCATTTTATTCGCAGGTGAAAGGATGTAATCTTTCCAAATGGCTTCTCTTAATACCAGTTATGAGATAACAGGAATTTTGTCTTTCTTTTTCTCGTCCTAACTTGAGACTTTCGCATGAAATCCAGTGCTCGACATCTTTTCTAAGGATTTTGTCTTTACAACAACATTTGTAATACTTATGAATTATCATCATCACTAAATACCACTCGAATTAAGTTTATATGCTCTAAAACAAAGCTAATAATCGAGTTATTTGAACAGAAACACTACAGATACTATGCAGAAGAAAGACGGTAAGATCCATAAAAAGGTTCATAATTGGAATTACGTTATTATTATCTTTGACTACAACTTTTTGTAAGAAAAATGTTCTTGATCTTATTCTTATATACAGGAAAATGTCGTTTTTTCTTTTGAACGATATATAATTTATTTATTACATGAGACGATATTTGACCGTTCGTTCTATATTATATTTTTGATCATTTTACCGAAATATCCTGAGAACTTTGAATTTTTAAAAAATGCTACCTGCACCCCGATAAAGAATTTAACATTCATTACCCTAAAAAAAAAAGAATAAAATAGTACTATTTAAGATGATTTTCACCGGGGGATCAACAAACCTTAAGTTTTTTAGGTGATACCGCGGTGCTTACCTTCGATATTCAAGATACTGCCATATTTATATTCGTTGGATCAGCAAACAATTCCATTGATCGTTACGTGAATTTATTATATACAAAATTAATTCGCACAAAAATTAAAATTTAAAGAAACTCGTAAATTTTATTCAAATATTTCCATTATGAATCCATAAGTTTCTGTAAAAAACTGCGATTTCTGTATCGATACATCTACGAACGAACTTATCATCTCAAATGCTTGGATGTTCATCACATACTCTGAAGAAAATGACAGCTTAACTATCTGTAATAATCTGATCATGGATATGTGTCTTAAAAGTCCCCGTTCATAGGGGTTCCAAGAAAGCGGGGTGTCGTTAAGTAAAGAATGTTTTAGATGATTGGTTTGTGGGACATGGTAGTAATATAGGTAGCAGGAAGGTGCACCCATTTTTATTAGTTAGGTAAACTCGCTATTCCAATATTTTACGTTTATATTTTACTTAGGCTTATAAAATTTTACTCGACTTTGCCTTATTCTTTTAATGCGAAGAAGGAAGATGGAACAAACGAAAATTTCATTTAATTTAAAGTGTTGTTTCCTAATTTTACATCAATTTCTTTTAGTAAGTCTACAATTTGTCATACGTATCTTTATTTAAGGGAAAAATTTGATACAAGTTAAAAAATAACATACAGGAAGGAATAAATAATATTTCGAGTTACCTTCATGAAATGACCAATAATATAAATTTACCTCATACACCAAAAAGTTTTGCAATAAATAATTCTTCTAACCATTCTATATTAGCTACATTTTCGAAATTTCTCATTTTATCAGTATCCTTAACTTTTGTCCAATTATCACTAAGAAATTTCATGGCAGAATTTTTTAAGACATTATTGTTTGATTTCCATCCTAATAATAATATTTCATCCCAAGTACTTTCATTAATAAATTTAATAATTCTGCAACTAGTGATTTCTTTTAGATCATTAATCTCCCTCCAATTAGATTCTTTATATAATTCAATTAATTCATTATAAGATAAATTATTATCAATTCTACCAGTATAAACGAAATATAATAATTTGTGAAAACAATTATATGATACTCCTTCTATATGAAAAATTAACGCGTTAGAATCTTTATCAATTTGTTCAAATAATTTTTTAAAATGAAGGGATTTAAAAGCGAGAAACATCTTTGAAGCTTTAATTTCTGATCCACAACTAAATTTAAATGTTATATCACTAAATATATCATTATTAAAATAATGTTCAAATTCTTCAAATTGTTTAAAATAATCTTGTGAATTATAATTATTATCATAATTTGGTATTGATTCTGTAGAATTCTCATTTTTATAAAAATGTAATCGAATTATTAAATTTGCACTTTTTGAAGTGTTTCCATTAGGAAATATATTTGAAACTTCACAAAATTCATAATAATCTAATGAAATTATATTCTTATCAAATAAAAATGTATGACTTTCTATTTCACTTTGTGATAATAATTTTAATGATTCTCTTGTAATTGATTCAATATTATTATCACTTAAATATATTTCAAACTTTATTCTAGTTTGTCGATTTTTTAATCCATTCAATTTTTCTTGATTGGTTTGAAATGCTATTAAATAAACACTTATATATTCTCTTCTACTATAAGAGAAACGTGGATAAAGTGAAATTCTCCAAGCATAATTTTCTTCTTGATTATTTAACATAGGAGAATAAAATTTTTCACTAAATATGTTACCAGAATATTCTTTGTTACAAAAATCTTGAAAATCTTTAATTACCCAAGTATATGTATAAAATATCTCATTATTAGCTTGTGAATTAATGAAAGCACAAGTAACATCGCTCGAATATTTAAATCCGATGACATGATTGAGAAAAAAGAAAAAAGAAAGGAAAGAGAAAACTATATATAAACGCATGATAATTGAGATTTGAGAAAGAAAAAATGATATGCAATTCGAGATGATCCTTTTAATTCGTAAATTTTAACGTGATCATCTCCATAACGAGCTTAGCGCCTTAGCCTATCGATTTTAACGACATGCTCACATAGTCACATGCATCATCAGTTATCAGATATAAATTATCACGCGTAAGCGCATATAATCATAATCATATAATCATAATTGCTTTATCACGCTCGTATTCTTAAAATGTTTCTTCATCCTTCACTGTTCAGAAAAAGTAACTATTACTTTATCTTCGTTGGATAATCTCTTGATCAGAATCAGTAGAAGACCTAAAAATAAATATACCGTAATAAACGCCAATTAAAGTTTATTAATGGACGATATTAAATATAATCGCAAGAGACAACTAACTACTGACTGTACGAGTATGTACAGTCAAACTATATAATCGCCTCCTAGGTGTGGTAAGATGATCCCATTTGTAGATGATCAATAAAATTTTTTCACTCTTGTCACTCACGCACACCAATAGCATTTCACAAAAATATGTAAAATGCCTATCATTTCGTTAAAGCCGCGAATGCTTTCTCTGTTAAAATTAGTAGGGACGAGCCTATTAGTGAACTTAAGAAAGCTATAAAGGCAAAGATCCGCAAACTTTCGCTAACATTGACGCCAAAGATATTAAGCTATGGAAGGTAGAAATTCGTACGTTCAGTTGAGAAATCTCTCGCTCGAGGAAATTGAAGAGCTGTCAACAATAAATGATATCGGAGACTACTGGCCTGAGAACCGCCTAAGAAGAGTATTAATGTCATAGTTGACATAGTTGAACCTCTCGCGTTGAGTGAGGTAAAGTTCTTTAAACAAGATAGTGAAAGTTTGAAGAAATTTTGGCAATTTCTAAAGAGAACGCGTGTTATAGATGGTTGAAACCTTGCTCTAGAAAAGGATACCAAATTTTTGGAGAGCTGTTCATCGTAATGTTATCGCGACCTGAAATTAATTGTCTTTGATATGAAAATATTTAAAGTGCGTATCACCGGAAATCTGGGTATCGGAAAAACCTTCTTTGGATATTATTTACTCTATTTACTTACATTATGAAATGAAAGGGTTATATATGATAACTATCGTGAAAGAGCGCCGATTATCTTTGACGGAAAAGAAGCCTTTTATAGCGACAGCATTAAGTGATACACAAGTTTGGTATATTGTAGATGGCAAGGAACCAAAGATATTAATGCTAAAACAATCCTAATCTGTTCATCCAAGTATACTCATTATACGAACTTTGATAAATATGATAGTGAAGTTATATGCCAGTATGGAGTTGGAAGGAGATCAAGGGTTGGAGGAAGTTTTACTATAAGGATGTTGTAACCAAGAAAATTGCCAAAAGATGTTTTTTGAAGTGGGGAGGGGTCCCTCGGTTTGTCTTGCAGAAGGCTAGCCGAGCAGATCACCAAAGAAAACTTGATAATGCAATTGAAAAATACAAAATAGATATTTTTGATTCTGTTGATTCTGTTAGCGAAAGTGAAGTTAGAGATTCCTTGAGCAATAAGCTCGTTCATATCCATACAAACCTCCCGATATCTTTGCAATATAAGGTTTTCAAGATTAGCGGTCACTTTTTTCATAACGTAAACGGATGCGATGTCATTATATAGGGAACTTGACTATTTTATCCCGTTTAAGTGGAAAATACATATCAAGTAGAAATTGTTCGTATTTAAGATCGTAATAATCAACACTATAAAAACTTTTCGGTCTTTTATTATAACCATGCGTGATAATATCAAAGTATTTGATGATCCACTTTTGAGTAACTTTGAGTATATAGCTCATAATATATTGAACAAAGGAGGATGGTTCGATGTTCGTTCTTTAGAATCTACTGATGATGACCCCACCGACGTACAACTTGCCTTTACAAGATAAAATATTAAATTTTTCTAACACAGATATCAATTCGATCAAGGATGGAAAGTATTATAAACTAATATAGATCCAAAAATTTCCTTTAATCAACTCGATTATTGCCCCATATTACGTCTTCAGGCGACTATCGCAAAAAAACATGAATGGATTAAATAAAACTATGCGGAAATTGGGTGGCGCAAAAGGAAATAATAAAATTTACTTTTTTTTTTGTTATTCCGGCATTATTGTACAATAAAAACAGAAATTTGTTAATTCCAACCTAATTGAATTAAAGATCGTATTTTTCAATATGCCTTGAAATTGAGCTGTGATAAACAAATACTCTAATACTCATGGAGTTTCCAGATACCTTAAAAACAATCATATATATGAAAGCACATACACACATTTAAAAAATCAAAGTAAAGCTTTTTATTATATTTTTGTAAGATAATACATAATAAAGAAATCGAGTAAAATGAAAATACCGTATTTGCCCGAAAATAAGCAATCACCGAAAATAAGCAATATGGCCCGCATTATACCAAATTTTGGCCCACATTATCAAAACTTAGCCGGCATTATGCGCAAAACTACCGTAAACTCCCGATTATAAGCACCCCAAATATAAGCACCAAAATTTTTATATTACCCGAAAGTAAGCACTCTTGACCAACACTATGATAATTTTGGCCAATACTACAATATACCAAATATATAAATTTACCCAAATATAAGCACCTCTGTAACAAAAAAGGTTGCTTATATTTGGGACTTTATGGTAGTTGCTTATTTTCGGGCAAATATAGTAAATATAAAAAAGATATTGGAATAGTAAATGCTTTAAAAATAAAGCATAAAATATACCTGCTGGTCCTAAACTATAAGATGACACTCATGACAGTTTCTTTCTACTACTTCATACTAACTATTACTAACTTTACCATTAATAATAATACTGCTGCTACTTAATACTTATAAAACTAACTACCCTTTCTCCTCCTTTTTTATTCATATTATAATTTTATCTATACTTCTCAGTAGAATTAAAAAGTCAATATCAAAATATTATGGCATAACCAAAAACAATTACGTCAGTACAAATGTTTACTAATAAAACATATAATTACGGCAAATTATAGCATTTTAATTACATCTGTCATAATTCAAAAATTCAATTCCGCTGATAAGTATAATTTTATCTATTGAAATCTTTCTAATGTTAATAGAAATTGGCCAATATACTAGAATTAAGTTGTCTGATCTTATTAGATGATATATTATACATTTGTAAAGAAAATATTTATCCTATCCTTTTGCTAATTAATTATATTTATAGGGTATTGCTAAATATCAACAGTGGTAATTATCACCATACCACTTAATTTTGGTTGAAAATTATAATTTTAACTAGAGTTAAAAAATAAATCAGAAATTTTTTTTCAAAAATTTTAATTTAAATAATAAATGTGTAAAACAACTTGAATAGATACTAATTACACTAAAATTTTTTTTTTTTTAAAAAAAAAATTGTATTTTATTTATAAAATCAAACTTTCCTGTTTTTCTCAAAAACTATCTAAATAACAGCCTTTATTAATAATCTAAGAGAACTTGTATATATAGTAATGATATTTATATTATAATTAGAATAATATCTCAATCAAAAATTTTTGAAAATATTTTATATATAATAATAATCACTAGTAATATCCCATTATATTATATTTTGGCAAACAAATTAATTCACTATTTATTATAAAATTATTATAAATTAATTATACTTTACAGAAACTTCAAGTTTTCAAGCAATATTATTTTGATATCATTTTAATATTGATTTGATATTGATTTAATATCAATATGATATCAAAATAAAATATTATCATTTTAATATCAAAATAATATCAAAATAATATCAAAATAATATCAAAATGAATAATGGTGTAGTTAGCCAAAAAATTCAGCTGAAGTCACAGTAAATTTTTGGCTAACAATACCCAGCCAAAAAAAATTCATGTTGATTTAGAATATTTTATTGATTTAACATCTACTATTTTTAGCTGAATATTTTCGGCTAAATACACTTTTTTTAAATAATAGTGTAGTTAGCCAAAATATCTAAATAGCAGTCATTACTCATGTAACCTCCTAATTCACTTTATTATGGCAATAGTATTCTCTTCAAATATATAATACATTTGCAAAGTTTAAAATCAATTTAAATTTATTTAATTGGCTAAATTAATGATTTTCAAATCCATAATTCTGGCCAAAATTTTCTTGATTCAGGCCTAAAATTAGTTAAATTAAAAATTTCAGGTAAAATGTAATATCGTATATATACAAAATAATCTTCAAACTAAATATGGAATATATAACCTCTTGTCAGTCTCTAAGTGTTTATTGAAATATTTTTTCAAATATTTTTTGTTTTTTGAGTTAGATCTTAGCTAAAAATTAGTATATTAAAAATAAAAAATAATGCAAAAAACTTATAATTTGTCAAAGATAGTGAAGAATACAAGAATCTAAATTAAAACAAAAAAAAATTTTAAAAAATAAAATAATGTATATATATTTTCAAATACAATTCAAATCCCTTAAAAAAATTTCCCTTTTTTATTTTATTTGTATAATTGTATTGTTATACCGTATATCACGGGCCACAGTACCCTGGGTATCTTGCAAATTTTGGGCATTTGGACCTGTACCCGGGGGTATATTACATGAGTGGGTACTATACATAGGAGGGGTACAGGATTTTTAAAATACCCAGGGTACTTGCCATGTATAATATCCGAGTATTATGGATAATCACTATGATGAAATCTCTCGTTAAGAATTTCTAAATGTATCCTATTTCTCATATCTTGATACTTTTTCAAGATATTTTACACAAAATTACTTATCTAAATACCCCTATTCATACATAAAAATGTCTTTGTTTAATTTACGTGTCTTTATTTTACGCGTTTTTTTTTTCTTTCTGCTAAAAGTAAAATGGTAGTTATTGGCAACAAGAAAAATAAAAAAACACGCAATCGTTTACCACAAAAGAAACGAAGACAATGGAATGTAAGGGAAAAATTAATGAT